TTATTGATTTTGGTCTCGCTTTCTGGATGGTCCATACACCTTCTCATAAGTTCTCTCTTCTATTTTCTCCTTTCGCTTTGTCTGGTTTTATCATTTACCCCCCAATTCCTTTCGTTCTCTCTCTCTCTCTCTCTCTCTCTTTCTGTCTACCTGTCTTTCTCTCTCCCTCTTTGTCTCTCTCTCTCTCTCTCTCTCTCTCTCTCTCTCTCTCTCTCTCTCTCTCTCTCTCTCTCTCTTTCTCTCTCTCTCTCTCTCTCTACCTCCCTCCCTCTGCCTCCATATTTCTCTCTCCCTCTCTCTCTCTCTCTCTCTCTCTCTCTCTCTCTCTCTCTCTCTCTCTCTCTCCCTCTCTCTCTCTCTCTCTCTCTCTCTCTCTTTCTCTCTGACTCTTTCTCTCAGACTCTTCCCCTTCCCTTTCTCACAGCCACCTTTCCATCCTCTGCTTAGCCGAGAGCGCTTGTTAAAATCGCAAATTCCTTGGTAATGACATTTTTACTCGTACGATAAAGTGAATTAGATGGGAAAGCTACCCTCATTTGCGGTCTTTTTACCTGCTGGATCAAGGGAGCGATGGAAGGCGATAGTTTTTGGTGGTAAGAGGGCTCTTGATCAAAATGGAAGGAAGGATGAGGGATGGAGGGAAAGAAAAAGGAGGGAGGGAGGGAAGGAAAGAGAATGGGAGAGAGGGAAGGAGGGAAGGAGGGAGAAAGGGATAAAGGGAAGGAGGGAGGGAGGGAGAGAGGGATAGAGGAAAGGAGGGAGGGAGGGAGGGAGGGAGAGAGGAAAGGAGGGAGGGAGAGAGGAAAGGAGGGAGGGAGGGAGGGAGAGAGGGATAGAGGAAAGGAGGGAGGGAGGGAGGGAGAAAGGGATAGAGGGAAGGACGGAAGGAGGGAGAAAGAGATGGAGGGAAGGAGTGAGGGAGGGAGAAAGGGATAGGGGGAAGGAGGCAGGGAGGGAGGGGAGAAGGGAGGAAGGGAAAGAGGGAGGAAGTGGGAGGGAAGGTACGGGGCAAAGGAGATGAAGAGGTTTGAAGAGAAAGCGAAGAGGGGAATGAGAGAGGGGGAGGAGAGAGGGAATTATCAGGAGAATTGCCGGAGGGACATTTAGAAGGCAGAATGAGGGAAAAGAAATAAGAACTAGGAAGAGGGAAAAAGAACCAGTGAGGGAGGGAAATTGAGAGACAAAGACATGATGAGGAAGAAAACTGAATAAAAGGGAGAGAGAGAGGGAGGGAAAAACAAAATAAGTTGAAGCATGGGCGAAGGGGAAAAGGAATGAGTGAAATGTCAAATGAAAGAATATGAGAAAACAGAAAGAGAGCGAGGAAGGGAAGGAGAGAAGAGGAATAGAAGAGAAAGAGCATAAGTCTGAGATCTGGGGAAGGGAGACAGGGAGACACAGGGAACACGAGATAAGGAAGGAGGAGGAGAGAGACCGAGAATGAGTGTGAAATGGCGGAAAGGTAGATAGAGAGAGGAATGGGGAAGGGAAAGGGAGAAAAGGAGGAAGGATGACAGAGAGAGAGAGAGAGAGAGAGAGAGAGAGAGAGAGAGAGAGAGAGAGAGAGAGAGAGAGAGAGAGAGAGAGAGAGAGAGAGAGAGAGAGAGAATGAGAGAGACAGAGAGAGAATAAAAAGACTCGACGGGTCGGAGATTAGTCACTAACTCATAACGGCAAAGTAATGACAATATCGATAAGCAAAATGACTTTCAGATGATGATGTCAATGATGTCGAAAGAGGATGACGTCATGATCACCGGCGGCTAATAAGTGATATGAGCCCCGACGGCAGATTTCTCTTCCTCTATTTCTTCCTCTTCCTTTCCTAGGTTATCAAGCTGTATTTCTTTTCTTCTCTGTCTTTTTTTTTCGCTTTTTTTCTTTATCTTTATCTTCCCCTTCTTCTTCTTCTTCTTCGTATTCGTCTTCTTCTTCTTTTTCTCGTTCCTTATCTCTCTGCTCTGCTTTTCCTATTCGTTCAGCTTATTCATCCTCCATCTTTTTCTCTCTCTTTTTTCATCAAATATTTCCTCTTCTCCTCTATTTATTTCTCTTTTTCTTCCCCTCCTACTTTTTGCAGTATTATTTTTTTTCCTTTTTAGATTAATCACTATTTTATTGTTTTTTTTTCTTCTTCTTTTTTTGTGATAGTGACCTGAAATCTGAAATTACATTATACAAGAAAAAAGAATAGAAGAAACTTATTGGGTTCATAATTGGCATTCAGTGCACAGTCGGGTTGTTTTCGAACCGTGTTTGTTTTTATATCTGTAGGTGTTTTTTCCTTTCTCTTTTTTTTGTCTTATTCATTTTTTTTTTAATTTTCGACTTCCTATCCATACATTTTTCCTTTCTTCAGTTTTCGTGACATATGCCTTCCTATCTCTACTATTTTATGTTCTCTCCTTATTTTTTTCTTTGTTTTTGTCTTTTCATTCAACTTTAACACGAAAAGTATTGTGACGAAATAATATTTCTCCATGTGTTCTGAGGAAACAATTATGATTTTCCATAAAGGAGGTACTTATCGTCGATAGCACTGTTCATACGCACACACATGCACACATCTATATGTATATAAATAGACAAACGGATAGATAGATAAAATGACAGACAGATGTAGATACAAATTGATGGGTGGATAGATAGATAGATATAGATGTAAATATAAGTAGATAGACTGATAAATAGATAGATAGATATAGATGTATAAGGGCAAATGATATCTATCTATCTATCTATCTATCTATCTATATATATATATGTATATACATATACATACATATATATACACCATTCACTATGTTTCCAAACCATTAGTCTGCGAGCACTATCTTGCTGTGAATTGACATTTCCATGTTCTACATGACCTCGACAAGAGTATAAAACACTATTCTAAGGCAGTCATACGGTCCACTACCCCTGTATGTGGCAACACTAATCTCTAATTGTCCAAGTTCAGTGGAGCAAGACTACTGAGTAGAGTTTCCGTTCCGTTCTGTTCCGGGCTCGGTTCAATTAAGCATAATTGGTGGCAGGGGTGGGATGGCTAATATTGATATATTAGTCAGATTCGTTCCAGGTAGATTGAGATTGGAGCTAAAGGGTCTTCTTAGAGCCAATATCGTCCGGTGGCAGAAATCAGAGATCAGAGTTTCCATTCATATATTTTTTTTCCATTTGTGTCATTGGATTTCCCTTCTACCGAGGCTATCTTGTCTCCCCAAATATATTTTATGGTCTACTCTGCCAGACGCTCAAAATCAGCTTCAGTACATACTATATCTCTGCCATTAGCTGCTGCCCACTCGCCCGAGCTTCATGCCCCGTTGTCTGCATCTAAGAACAAGCAGTTTCATGTTCAAGGCAATTCTTGGCAGCCCTACATTGTTCTGGAGTGTGTTCAGTTGCTTGTCCCTTGTAGTTTTAATCTGAGATTAATACAGATAAACATTACATTAATCCAGTTATCACATAATGATGATAATGATAATGATGATGATGATGATGATACTACTTCTACTACTACTACTACTACTACTACTAATAATAATAATAACAACAACAATGAATTATCATAATGATAATGATGATGATGATGATGATGTAATGATAACCATGATATTTCTGAGAGAGAGAGTGAGAGTGAGAGAGAGATAGAGAGAAGGAAAAAAATGAGACTAACCGACCAACAGTCCGATCGAGTGAGAGACAGAGAGAGAATGAAAGTTATCATTGCTCGATATCGACTTCCACGGCGAGAATTCATGGTCTAACGCCCCTCTTTCTCTCCCTCTCACAGGCCTCCTCCTCGTGCTGATCCAAGCATGGTGATACAAGTCGGCTCTCGGTTCTCCAAGCTCCTCTGGTTATCGTCGTCTGCGGCAGTCTAAAACCCTCTGTTCTTTCTTTCTTTCTTTTCTCTTTACTCTTTTTTTTTCTTATTCTTTTTCTTATCCCTTCCCCCTCTCTCTCTCTCTGTCTTTGTCTCTCTTTCTCTCTTTCTCTCTCTCTCTCTCTCTCTCTCTCTCTCTCTGCCTTTTTTTTTCCTCTTCATTTTCGTTTTTTTTTTAAATTCTGATGACCGTTGGTTCGAACTCGTCTCCCTCGTCCCACCATTCTTTCTTCTTATTTTCCTTTTCTCTTTCGATTCCACTTTGGCTATTCATCTTAAGCCTTTCCTCCCTTCACCAGTAACTGTTCCCCGTTCGTCTTAATCTATCGGTTAATCTATCAGCTTAAGATATCCTCCAGACTGTAGTCTTTATTCTTCTTCCCTTTCTCTGTCTTTGTTTTTCTTTTCCCTCTTTCTCTATCTCTCTCAATCTATTTGTCACTTTGTATATATATTTATTTATCTGTCTGTCTCCATTTCCTTTCTTTGGTCTTCCTTTTCCTTTGAACATAACTGCTTTTCTTACCACTTAGCCATCTCTTTCTTTCTTTCTCTCTCTCTCTCTCTCACTCTCTCTCTCTCTCTCTCTCTCTCTCTCTCTCCAGTTTATTTCCGCATCACGCCATTTTTCTCTTCTACATTTCTCTCCCGTCGCGTTTCTCCCTCTCCTCATCCTTCACGCGGCCCTCCCTCCTGTCACCACGATCTCCTGTTATCGTCCCGTTCCGTGGCTCCCCGATTTTCCTCCATCTTTCTTTCGCCTCCTCCTTGACCAGGCTACTTTTCAAGTCTCAACAGCACTTTCCTCTCCCCATAAAAACCCTCTTCCTCTCTCCCTCTCGCTTTTTGAAAATGATCAATTTCTAAACCGGTCGACTCAAAGCTCTCGAGAGCAAGAGCGCCTCTGGAGTCTGGCGTCACTGAGAGAGAGAGAAAAATAGTTATTTGTTCCTTTGGTTCTATTTTCTTCTCCTCTTTTTAGATACATATATATCCATTCCTTTACTTTCTCATTCGTGTCTTTATATATTTTTCTCTCTTATTCACACCATTATCTTCTTTTCGCCCACTTTTCCCCACCTCTTTTATCCTCCGTCCCTCCACC